ACGTGCTGGATCAGGTGCCCCCTATCACCCTGCTGAGCAATGTCTTCAACGTCACCATCCCGCCTCCGTCCCCGTATCTATCCTTCAAGCTGTCCGTGGATGACAGCGACCTCAGGGTCTACGCCATCCCCACCGGATCGCGCTGGGTGCAGCTGGCTCTCTTCATCCTGTTGGCCATCATTCCTATCTCCACCGCGATCGGCGCGGTGTATCTGTACCTGAAGGCGTTCTACCAGGTCAAGTTCAACCAGATCGGTGTCACGGAGAAACGGTCGAGCTTTGCACCACTTATCGGCGTCTTCCAAAGACGGACGCGACCGTATGACGGGGAAGCAAGTGCGGCTGGAGTCGGACGTGCGAATGTCAGTCCGTCTGTGTCCGACAGCGGCAGCGTCATCGGCGCCACGGTGGATATCCGGCGACGCACCGTGCTTATCGCTACGATGGAGTACGACATCGAGGACTGGGCCATCAAGATCAAGATTGGTGGGTTGGGAGTGATGGCACAGCTGATGGGCAAGCATCTTTCGCACCAAGATCTGATCTGGGTGGTCCCCTGTGTAGGGGGCGTAGATTACCCCCGGGACGATCCCCAGGAGCCGATGGTCGTCACTGTTCTGGGGAACAAGTACCAAGTCGACGTCCAGTACCACCGGCTGCACAACATTACATACGTCCTGCTCGACGCGCCGGTCTTCCGGGCCCAGTCCAAGTCCGACCCGTATCCCGCGCGCATGGATGACCTGGATTCAGCCATCTTTTATTCCGCCTGGAACCAATGCATTGCAGAAGCCATCAAACGGTTCCCCGCTATCGATCTCTACCATATCAACGACTACCACGGCGCAGCCGCCCCCCTCTATCTTCTCCCCCGCACGATCCCATGCTGCCTGTCTCTCCACAACGCAGAGTTCCAGGGCCTATGGCCCATGCAAACTGTCCAGCAGATTCAAGAGGTGTGCAAGGTGTTCAACCTCGACCAGGCCGTGGTGAAGAAGTACGTGCAGTTCGGCGACGTGTTCAACCTCCTCCACTGCGCGGCCAACTACCTCAAGATCCACCAGAATGGGTTCGGCGCTGTGGGTGTCTCGAAGAAATACGGCAAGCGATCGTACGCCCGGTATCCGATCTTCTGGGGGTTGAAGAGCATCGGCGCTCTGCCTAACCCGGATCCCTCTGACCTCGCGGAGTGGGATAACAACGCGAACAACAATCCGGAGGAGGTGACCATCGACGCAGAGTTCGAAGCCAGCCGTGCCCCGCTCAAGCGACAGGCGCAGGAATGGGCCGGGCTCAAGGTGGACCCGGATGCGGAGCTGTTTGTGTTCGTGGGACGGTGGTCGATGCAGAAGGGAGTGGACTTGATCGCGGACATCTTCCCTTCGATCCTGGACGCTCACCCCAAGGTTCAGCTGATCTGCATCGGGCCGGTCATTGATCTTTATGGACGCTTCGCTGCGTTGAAGCTGAATCGGCTCATGGAGCTGTACCCGGATCGCGTGTATTCCAAGCCGGAGTTCACGGCCTTGCCGCCGTTTATTTTCAGTGGTGCCGAGTTTGCTCTGATTCCTTCGCGTGATGAACCATTCGGTCTGGTGGCTGTCGAGTTTGGGCGGAAGGGGGCGTTGGGAGTGGGATCACGGTAAGATTGAACGTCAGCCCTAGTTTGACTGTTAATGCTAACGAATGTGTCAACAGGGTTGGTGGTCTCGGACAAATGCCTGGATGGTGGTTCACGATGTGAGTTTCTTCCTCCCAGAGACTTTCATACACATGTCCAGACAACTAACCGCAGTACAGTGAATCCATGACAACCAAGCACCTCACCCATCAGTTCAAGCTGGCAATCAACGACGCCCTGCGATCATCCCAAGAGACACGAGCGCTGATGCGAGCCCGATCCGGCAAGCAACGCTTCCCCGTGGCGCAATGGGTCGAGGATCTCGGCATTTTGCAGACCACCTCCATCAGAAAGCATGAGAAGCACTCGAAACGCAACGAGCGCAGCTCCTGGAGGATCTCCAGCACCAGTACCTTGGTCCCCGATCGCAGTCGCAACATGCACCTCTCGTTGAGTCCCGACACCAGCCGCGAACACAGCCGATCCCGCAGCTCGACCATCTCGCGCCCGCCCAGCCGGGCCATCAATGCCGATCTGCGACCCGGGGCACCCCGACCCGGCCACAGCCGTGTGCCCTCGCTGCCCGCAATCCTACCCTCCAATCTTAGCTTAACCAGTAACGATCCTGACACCGACACCGAGGCAAGGCGAAGACCCTTATCCTCGATCCCCCGCGCAGGACCTCGAGTGGTGTACTCATTCGAGAATGAGGGTGAAGAGCTCGAAAACATGTCCGTGGCACCCCATACCCCTCCCCACTTCGCCAACTCGGGCGCCAGCACCCCAACCCTCGGCGCCGGTCCCGAGGACGGGCTACTGGGTCGCAGGCCGAACCTATCCATGATGAGTCTGGTCAGCGTCGACGACATCGTCAAGGAGAAGCAGGATTACAACCTCCAGAAGGTCAGCCCCTTCTTCACGGACGTCAACAACGAGTACGCCGACAAGTTCGAGAAGAAGCTGGTCGATCTGAACGGCAAAAACTCTGAGGACCAGCTGTGCATCGAGGAGTTCCTCGAGAAGAGCGAGAAGGACTGGTTCAACCGTTATCGCGACGTCAAGCTGGGCAAGTCGCCGCTGCCCTCACCGTCGCCTTCGGTCTTCCGCTTCAAGGTCAACGATAACAGTCCCCCGCCGACGCCCGGGGTGATGGGTGGTCCGGTGGAGGACCCGAATGCGGGACAGTTCCTCCTGCCCAAGGACTATGTGCCCCCCACGGGGCTGAAGCGGTTCATGCTGATGAAGATCGGCGATTGGCCGGTTTATTCGATTGTCCTTGCTATTGTGAGTTTGCTGTTATACTGCTTTTCTTCTCTCAATGCGTCTTCCATTTTTGTATGTTCAATCCACTGACAAGATGGGGTCAGGGCCAAATAATCGCCCTAAACTCGTACCAGATCACGCTTCTGAACGGGGAGATCGGAGAGACAGCAGAAAAGCTGTACGCGCTCGCGTCCATCTATCTGGGGTCTTCGATTGTGTGGTGGATGGCTTTCCGACTGATGCCGTCGGTTTATGTCTTAACCATTCCTTTCCTGGTACGTATTTTGCTCTGTGCATTTTGTCTCGCCTAGGAGCGTCTAGGCTAACCCTTCGCAGATGTACGGATTTGCCTTCCTCTTCGTCGGCCTCGCCGGTCCCATTTCCGGCGGTGCAAGCCAAACCTGGCTGCAGAATGTGGGAACGGGCTTTTACTCGTTTGCCTCTTCGAGTGGATCGATCTTCTTTGCTCTCAACTTTGGAGATGAAGGTATGTGTATGAGCAACTAAAGTCCAGGGGACAGTGTATCTGACCTCTCTGTCCAGGTGGAGCACCGCTTAGCTCGTGGATCTACCGAGCCACTGTCATTCAAGGCAGTCAGCAACTATGCATCAGTTTCCTCTGGTACTGGGGTAGCTGGATGGCGAGCCTCAACCAAGAGGGTAGCACGCGATTCAGCCTGAGCATGACCAACCCACACGCATTACTCGGGATTGGCGTCGGTCTCGCGTGTTTCCTGTGGCTGCTGGGAGCCCTGGTGTTCTTTGGCTTGCCGTCCTATTACCGCCAGACGCCCGGGCGTGTACCGACCTTCTACCTCTCGCTCTTCCGGCGTCGCATCGTCCTTGTATGTTCCTCCCTCTTGTCCTTTCACCCAGTTGAAGTGCTAATCCCCGATCTTGCAGTGGTTCTTCTACATGGTGTTCATCTCGAACTACTGGCTCTCGGCCCCGTACGGTCGCAATTGGCTCTACCTCTGGACCAGCAAACACGCCAAGGTGTGGCACATTGTGCTGCTGGTTCTCCTCTTCTTTATCGGGGTCTGGGCGGCCGCCCTCTGGATCTGCCACGTCCTTTCCAAGCGACATGCCTGGTTCCTCCCGATCTTTGCCATCGGTCTCGGCGCCCCGCGCTGGGCGCAGATGCTATGGTCCACCTCCAACATCGCGACGTACATCCCGTGGGCTGGAAGTCCCGTGGCTGGAGCGATTCTTGGAAGAGCCTTGTGGCTCTGGTTGGGAGTGCTGGACAGTCTCCAGGGTGTTGGTAAGTCTCCTTTTCATCCCACCCGCGGTCGCATCATATCACCCCAGAATCGCAAACTAACCTCGCCTAGGCTTTGGAATGATCCTCCTCAACACCATGACCCGCTTCCACGTTACCTTCACCCTCCTCGCGGCGCAGGTGGTCGGGTCGGTGGCGACGATCCTCGCGCGGGCCACGGCGCCGGATAAGCTCGGCCCCGGCAACGTCTTCCCCGATTTCTCGGCGGGCGTGGCCGCCGGGCTGAGCAAGGCCGACTTTTGGGTGTGTCTGCTGTTGATGCTCTCCATCAACGTACTTTGCCTCTTTTTCTATCGCAAGGAACAGCTTTCGAAACCTTGATTGTGTTGACTTTGCATTAATTGCGTGGTTGTGGTTTTTCTTGTTTTTTTTTTTTTTTTTCTGTTTGGTCTTCTTGGTCTTCTTGCCTGGCTAGCGTGTGTCTTGGCTTGGTTTGTTTTGGTTACTAATTGTTTGGATATACATGCGGGTGCTACTGCCACGGAGCATCGTGTTGTTGCCTATAGTGAGTATATAGCATACGGGGGCATTGTATGATTAGAGCGATCCGTGGTCCGCAGCTGACTTAGCTGTTTGAATATAATCCTTATTGATCAATGTTGAATGGATACTCACTTATCCAAAAGCTACTTGACTAATTGATTTGACATAGTTAATGCTGGCTGTCAGCGGGGGATGGCGGGATGAGCCTGGAGTCTGTGCGTCCAGGCCCAATGGGGACTAGGGAGAACAGGGGTCACAGACTCACAGCCCGTCAAGGGGCCCCATTCCAGACTAGTTAAATTGTCCATGCATTATTCAGGGGAGCGGATCAATTGTCATCCCCGCTCATATATAAACAATACGAGGCGCCCTTCCTTCTGGCAAAGGGAGCTGCTCACCTGAATTCTCTCAGCCTTTCCCAATTGCTGGTGCTGTTGCTGTCGCTATTGTTGTAGTTTGTTCTGCCACTCTTTTCAGAACAACACAACCGTCATTCACTCGTTTCCTCCTCATTCCCAGGATCTCATCCTCCAATCCACTCTTTCAACCACTCCATCCAACTTCCAGTCCCTCATTGTGTTCCTGAATGATCATCATGACTCGCTATCTCCTCTCCGCAATCCTCGCCCTCTGCGCCTGCGCGCACTGGGTCCTCGCCGCCCTGACCCCCGACCAAATCGCCAATTCGCTGAACGAGCTGGCGCAGCAAGGCTTCGCCGCCAAGGATCTGGTCTTGGAGATTAATTCCACCGCGGACGCTTCCCCGATTCAGGTTAGTGTGGATGCCTGAGGTTTGGGGGTGCATGGTCTGATTGTTTCCTCGGGGCTTAGGACGTCTATGCCGAAATGAGCACCATCGTCATCGAGGTCCTCCAGAACGTCAACTTCATGACCAATACCCCCGTCATCGCCGACCAGACCGCGCAGCAGTTGGTGTACGAAGGGTACTCCAATGTAAGCGGCCGCTTTGCTTCCCCCCCAACACAAGAAGACTGGACTAATGCACGGTGCTCCAGTTCGTCCAATCCCTCCTCGAACTCATGGACGCCTTCTCGACCAGCGCGACCACGTTGAAGTCTCTGGATGAGTCGACCAAGGATCGCGTTCCGTCGAATGTGCGCACGTTGGAAAGTGCTGTGGACGTAGGTTCCCTCGAATATCTAGAATGAGGAGGTGGGTATGCTGACACGACCACTCTCTAGGCCTACTTCTATAACATCATCGGCCTCTTCCCCGCCAACAGCTCGTACAACGCCCAGGCCAACAACCAGAAGGCCCAGGTGGATACCCATTGCTTCCAGGCGATCTGGGCCTTCGATGCCACCGCGGCGAGTCAGACGGCCACGACGGCGCAGCAGGCGCGGAGCACCGGGCTGCTCGGCTTGCGCCGCCGCGGGGTGTACCGCGCTTAGTGGGATGTGTCTTGCTGAGCGATGGGTAGGGGATGAGGGTGAGTAGGCGGGCAAACTCAGGCGTATTTAACCCAATACTTTTACGCCATCCTTTGGGATCTGGCTGGACGTGTTTCTTCTATCTTGTCGATATAGCTATGTATAGCATACTTTGGTAATAAAAGGGGTGTTGACGTGACACGTCTTGGGTTATCTGCCGGTCGGATGTAGTAGAGTGGGCATATGCGTTGTGCCTGAGGTGGAACCGCAACCACGGGACGCGTTCCAGAAGCTAGTCGTTTGACTATGGGATTGAGATGCGGGTGACGTCATGAAGTAATACAGGAGACTTGTTGAGCTACTACTGCTACCCCTCCTGGCGTGTCGCTTAAACACAGCTGACAGTACAGCTCGAATGAGCTAGCAGATAGAACCAACCACTTTCCACCTTCAATACAACTACGAGTAATTGAACCAAATATACTAAGGGCATTTCATAGATGTACAGTACAAACAGACTTTGAGTATACTCCGCTAGCTTTTGTAGGGACTGTGCCCTCGCATTAATGCCTCGCAAACGCGATTAGCGAACAGTAAGAAGTGCATAACGTGGAATCAGACAGAACGGCCCCCGTTGCTGACAAGTACAAAGACTGGTTGAAGCCGAATCAACATCAAGAAGCTCGGGAGAACTTTTCCAGGGACGGTGCCTGTTTGTTTCGGGTGTCTTAGTAGGAAACACTCAGCAATATCAAGATCTGCTTCGAGACTCGCTTCGCAGTCTTCCGGCCTCCTGCGGGCAAGCCAAACAACCTAATGCGCACCCGTGTTCCTGGGACTAGGGCATGCAGCCTCTGTTTTCTTTTTCTGGATTCGGGCATGCACAATGATATACGGCTTGTTGCAGTCAACAGACACCGAGGGGGTCTCATACTCCTGAACCATCAACCCGTCGATTTTGATTGCATACTGGTCCAGGGAACACGTGGCGAGAGAAGGTAGACAGGCAACATGGGCATGGACTGCGGTGATCCTGTAATCGACGTCCACAGTGTACCTGAAATGAACCTTTCCACCATCGAGAAAGGCCACGAAGGGCCCGACGTTGACGGCGTTCACGTTAATATCGTTGTAGTTGGGGAGGGCGCCCACCCACAGCGTGCCCCCGAGCGGGGCCGAGTCGATCTGGTTTGACCATCCCCAAGGGGGGTTGCATTCCAGCGCAACCCCTGGCGGGGACGCCGAATGCCCGAACGCGGAGCCGAAATCGCACCATTGTCCGTTGTCGGGCGGCGGCGGCGGCGGCGGCGGCGGCGGGGGATTATCGCACCCACACTTCGTCCGGAAGGTCCAGAAGGTGAACCAGGGATTACAGGATAGCTTGATGCACTGCGTCGGGAGGCCGCCGGTCCCGCCTTCGGAGCCCAGCGTGGGACTTTTCACGCTGGCATGCGTCACAATGTTGATGGGCTTGTCCGGGCACAGGTTGACATTTGGCAAGGCCTCACTCAGAGGGATCTCACAAGATGCGCTGGTACCCGAGACCGTGCATCTGGGGGATTTCTTGTTCGAACCCCAGGGATAGCTTCCGGGGGCGGTACCGGTGGGTGCCCCGGTCCCCAGCCACACACTCACCGTTTCATATTGGTAATCCTTGTAGGCCGGGTACTCCACTCGCAGGTTCTGCTTGTCAGCACTCAAGGAGACACGGACCTGCTGTCCGGTTGGCTTTTTACCCAGGATCCAATCGGCAGACAAAGTATTCTCAAGCCCTGTGAGGGTGGGAGTACAGTCCGCGCGTTTGTGGGTCCTTGCAGCCACGGCACGGGTGCCGGACGGGCTTGCAAGACAAAGGTTGCCCAGCAGGGCTATGACTAGGCTGATGAGGAGAAATAAATGAGACATAGTAGGTTGAGGTATTTTGTTAATGCTGGGATACGATTCTTAGCTGCGGGAAGCGCTTGCTGCAACTTATAGATAACGGCATTGTATGTAAGAGAATGCATTCCGGGGTGAAGAAGGGTACTCCTTAGTGTACTAAGCTGAGGATCATAAGCAAGCATGCAGGGTCCTATGGCACATATACGAGGAAAACAAATTCCGAGAGCTACAATTCGCCCTCCACATTGAGCAGCAACCATTTTCCAGGGGAGAGCTCAGAGCCTGGCCAAGGCCTCAAGCGAAGACCGAAGATCCAAATATACTGCTATGGGTCAGCCAACGAACAACGTAAAAGCCAAGTGCTCGAGCCATTGTCGCCTTTGTCCTCGAAGACAGTGCCAAGAAAAAGATCAGGAGAGTTAGAAGGATCCAAGAGTTCTCATATCGTAGCTCTGGCACGACAGCAGACTTGGCTTGCTCAGACGTCATACTCAGTGACCGGAGCAGTTTTTCTTGATACGAGCTGCGGTCATCAGACTCAGTAACCAGAGAAACGGATCGGCCTTTGAATCGGAACCGAGATAAGTATGTTCTACAACAGCCGTTAGTCGGAAGATTAACTTTTGGTTCAACCCTTCAAATTATTGAACCTTGAACCACCAAGGTGCTGACGGTCTCTTTCTCTTTGCTTAGACATCTCCCCTCTTTTCTCTGACAACCCAGTTGTATTCTATAGTAAATTTATTTAGGCTACCATTCTTATAGAGCTTATCAGTCCTTATCTGTATCTGCTCCCGGAAAGGCTCAAGTCACTATCACGTGACATGCGTGATTCTCAGTAATTGGCGGAGTCACTTTAAAGGTTGTTAACCGAGAATGAGTATGCGGAAAAGAAAAAAAAGGCAATGAGTAACTAGGTCAAGCGCCGTGTTCAACGCTCATATAAGTATTTCTTGGTTGTGTTGCTGAACAGCTCAGTCACTTGGCCGCATTCAACAGGCGGCACAACTACGAATGGGCGGACGGTAAGCCCCAGTCTTCGAGACCCTGTGGTCGCATGTGCTAATTTACAGCTGTGGCTAATGATATAGAGTGTGGCCCAGAGGATTCGATGCGAGAGAGACAGAGCGGGAACCACTTTCACACTGTCTGGCCCAGATATGTTGGAGATATTGCCCCAAGGGGCTCGAGTCTTGTTCCGGGACCTGTCGGTCGCACGAGCTCGGATATAAGGAGACCGCTGCCTGCAGGGCCGACTTCGGAACCTCGTCGGATTCCGGATTTCTCTGTCCAATGGCCTTTAGAGATTTGCTAATTGCACAAGACCACATCCTTGATTTATCTTTGCACACGACCACATGCGCCAGTGTGCCATGACTAGTGGCCGGCGGTTTGTCTAGCGAGATGCTTGAGCAGGCATAAGCACACGCCCGCCCCGCTATGCCCCACTCTGCTAGAGTCAAGGTGAGAAACGTGCTATCAATCTCCACATGCCATTGGTTTGTTCCTGTCAAGCACGTGCCCAGCCCTAAGGTAGATGGAGGAAGGTACCTAGTACTGAGTAGGTAAGAAGTCCTACTGAATGAATTGAATCGCCAGATGCGTGCGTGAGACTGAACTTGCACCACTATTTAAGCCGCTGCTGTCTCCCCTTGAATGACTCTCTTCTTGTCCTCGTCCTCAGCTCCCTTGACAAGATCGAATCCAATGGCTTCTTCAGTCGCTGCGCTTGTTGCCCTGGCCGGTCTGGTCACTGGTGCCACCATCACCACTACAGAGCCCTCCTTGTCTGATATTCGACAAGCTCAGGCGACGACCGTCCCTCTGACCTGGACCTCCAATATCACTGGCAAGGCCTACGACCGCTTCTACCAGATCTGGTTGGAGAACGTGGTATGTACCTGTGACTTTATGGTGTATGTGACTTGAGGCTCACGTTCTCTATGCAGGACTATGACAACGCTGCCAACGATACCAACCAGCAGTGGCTGGCCAGCAAGGGCATCACCTTGACCAATTACTACGGTACCGGTCATCCTTCTCAGCCCAACTATGTTGCTGCTGCCAGTGGAGATAACTATGGCATGGATAATGGTAAGCTAACCATCACTTCCTTGACTTTTCCGAGACGGAGAAGGTTAATAATAGTGTCTCGCCCAGATGATTTCCATGACATCCCTGCCAATGTCTCTACCATCGCCGACCTTCTGAGCACTAAAGGCATCTCGTGGGGCGAGTACCAGGAGCATATGCCCTTCCCCGGCTTCCAGGGATACAACTTCTCCAACCAGGTGACATATGCCAACGATTACATGCGTAAGCACAACCCCCTGGTCTCCTTCGACTCGATCAGCAGCAACGACACTGCTCTGCGCCTAATCAAAAACTTCACGACCTTCTACGACGACCTCGATAACCACGTCCTCCCGCAATGGGCCTTCATCACTCCTAGTATGTCTTCCTTTTCTGAAGCAATCACCCCCAGAACCATTAATAACATTCTCAAAAGACATGACCAACGACGCCCATGATACCAACATCACCTTCGGCTCCCAGTGGCTCCGGGGCTTTGTCTCCGAGTTGATGAACAACACCTATTTCTGGGACAACACCCTCCTGCTCCTGACCTTTGACGAAACCGAGACCTACGGCGTCCCCTCCAGCGAGGAGTACGCCGAGCGCAACCGCGTCTTCAGCGTTCTTCTCGGCGGCGCTGTCCCCGAGCACCTGGTGGGTACCGAGGACGACACCGTCTACACCCACTACTCGACCATCGCCACCGCCTCGGCGAACTGGGGGCTCCCCTCGCTCGGCCGCTGGGATTGCGGCGCCAACATCATCCAGTTCGTGGCCGACAAGGTCGGCTACACCAACTGGGATGTCGACAACACCCACCTCTTCCTGAACGTCTCCCTGCCCGGCCCCCTCTCCGAGGCCGACTACTCCCAGTACCGGCCCACCTGGCCCATCCCCGCCACCAACGCCTCCTGCTCGGCGGGCTACGGGGTTCTTCCGGCCGTCGTGGACGCGTACCAGGGTCAGGAGCCCACCTACAACTACACCTCGCCGTTCCCCTATGATGCGCCGTACGGATTGAATGTGGGGACGTCGTACTCGCGGAACGGAACGACTTATGTCTCGGGCGTGAATGCGACCGGGGTAATCGGCGATGACTCCGTTTCGAACTCCACCTCCTCTTCTGCTTCTGCTTCTTCTTCGGGGGCTTTTACGGGTGCGGCTGTCCCGGAGATGAGAGCTTCGGGGGCGGCCTCGGTCGCTGTGGCTGGCTTGGTGGCGCTTTTCGGCTTGATGTAAAAGGAACTGAGGAATTCAATGACAGAAATGGGTATAAGCTTTGAGTGCGCGAGCAGGGTGTTTTGTCTTTATTATATTTGAATACCAATAATCAGAAGATGAGGCTCTGGAAACCCCCTCCTGTATATATATTGTTGCATAATGCAAGTTCCCTCAGGTAAAACCAACTTTGTGAGAGTTCAAATCGCTTCATCTCTCTACGCGCCTTTTGTTCCTTTTTTTTTTTTTTTTTTTTTTTTTTTTCCAGAAGCTACATCATCCCACTTGAGATGTTCTGAACATTCTATATGTTGCTCAACAACAAGTGATTGCTATTCAAGGAATGAAAATATCTTCACTCCTTGAATTTTACTTTTCTAGGAACTTAGTAATATGACAAATAAAGATATCATAATGGGAGTATTGAGTGTGTAGAACAAGCATGTCAAAAGCTAAGTGTAATAATGATGAAAGCTGTTGATCTGCGCACATGAGACTGACCGATGATCACCAAGCCCTCTGACTGCGAATGTAGTTCGTCCAAAAGCGCGCACGCGCTGGGTCATCCACCGTTGTGATCGTCTGCCACTCGCCGCCCAGCTCGAGCAGGGTGTCCGGTTGATCCACGAGACTCGGCCACTCCGCCACCCCCTCCGGCCGAGAAGACGCCCCCTGCAACCCATTCGGATTACCGTACTTGATAAAATTGGCCCACAAGGTCGAGACCTTGTCGCCGATCACCCGATCCGTCTCCGTCCATGGGCGGAGGTCGTTGGTGATCAGACTGTTGAACGTGTAGGCGAACTCGGCCCCGTGATACGCGCCCCCCACCGGACCCTTCTGGTTGGTGAACCCGGGAACTTTGGGCTGGGAGTGATCCGGCTGCCAGTTGCGCCACGGGGTGATGGGGTGGGTGAAGTAGTAGCCGTACACCGCGGATCGAGTCTTCTGGTGGTACTCCTGCGCCCAGAGGGCGATGTTGTTGCGCGTGTTGTCCCGAGCGGCCTGGTTCCATGTCTCCAACGGACCTTGACCGGTTTCCCGGTTGCGTAGGGGGTAGAGTTCGTGGAATTTCTCGACGTAAGCGGGGTCACCTCTACCGTATGTCGAGTCGGGGCCGAGACGACCCTCCACGCAGCTGAGAAAGTCCTCGTAGGTGAAGCGCGGTTCGTTGTAGGTGCCTCCTTCCTCGCTGTTCATGCCCGCCATGACGGGGACGTCGTTGGGCGGCTCACCGGCGTGGATCTTACTCCAGGGCTCCGGAATCACGTGGCCGTCGAGAATAAGGCGGAACAACGGGGGAGGTCCCCAGTATCGCCGATCGCGTTTGGTCGAGACTTCGCGCAGCTTGTCCAAATCGTCGAATTTTCGAAACTCTTCGACATCCTTGATGCCGAGCTCGCGGAGAAGTTGCACACCGTCTTCCTCCGCTTCTTTGAGTGTTCGGTAGGACATGGGTCCGTTGGCGAGGGCAGGCTCCTGGAACGAGCGGGGCCCGGATTGAAGGATCACGCCGTGCAGAAGACCTTTCGCCAAGGGAGAGGAAAGGAGAGTATGGCTCATTGCATTTCCAGCCGACTGCCCGCCGATAGTGACCTGGTTGGGATTGCCGCCGAACACGGAGATGTTCGATCGCACCCACTTCAGTACCTCCACCGCGTCCAGCATCCCGACCATCCCAGACGTTCCGGACGGTGACTCGGCACTGAGTATAGGATGGGCAAAGTATCCAAAAATCGCTGTTCGCTCTTGGTGTCAGCTGGGTGGTTGCATGGCGCTGGTGCTAAGCTTTCAAGTTGACTTACACAGTCGGAATGAGGGCACCACGACGAGGACTCCCTTTTGCGCCAGTCCAGTCCCATCAAAGTTGGGGTCTGCGCTGCCCCCCTCACGAAATCCACCACCGTGATACCAGACATAAACGGGGTACGGTCTCTCTGTCTCAAGGTCATTGCTAGGCTGGTAGACGTTGAGGTACAAGCAGTCTTCAGACTGTGGATGACCTTTGAGGACGTTGGGGTAGCGTGGGTCGGGTGGTGCTTGGGGGCACACCGGACCGATGGTATCGCATACTCTGAGTTTGTCCCAGGGAATGATGGGCTGAGGTGGCTTGAATCGATTGGATCCAGTAGGAGGCGCCGCGTAGGGAACGCCTTTGTAGATTGTGATCCCAGGGTCAAGGGGGCTGGGAAGTCCCTGAATGAGACCACCCTCAACTTGGACGGGAGGTAATGTACTGCCCATTTTTGACTGTGAATGAAGGTGAACGGATGGCATTCTCTCCTTCAGGACAACCAGGACATATTAAGTCCGGCTTATAATACTGAAAGCTTCTTAGCGTGTTCGGGGATTAGTTACCCCTCATTTGATTAGGGCTTCCGGGCGGATCTAATCTCAGCCGAGTCTCGCCTCCGCATTTTCCCCCGCTCTTTCTGTCTGCTTTCCTTCTCTCAACTCATGCCTCGCTTTGCCTCGCTTCCACCTGGACATGTTTTGGGAATCCCCGTCAGACATCATGACGGTACCTACTCGGCAAACGCTGCAGTTCCCGCTAGATTCCAGTCAGACGGACCCGCTCGTCTCGTCGGAGCCCCCCCACAAGCGGAAACGCGTGAAGACGGGTGAGTCTGATCAGCTGGCAGCTGCAACTGGAATGACTAAGTGACATCCCTCTTGCGAATCTAGGCTGTCTCACCTGTCGCGCACGCAAGGTCAAGTGCGACGAGACGCACCCACTTTGCAACAATTGCGGCAACCTTGATGTGGAGTGTCAATGGGGCCAAGGATCCAGACGACAAGGATGTGAGTCGTTTCATCAGATGCAAGAGGGGCATGGGGACATACTATCGATTACTTATCCGTTGGCCAGCTACTACATCTCTTTCCGATCAAGCCGGTCGACCCTTCGCTCCCCGGACTAGATCCGGGCCCCGTTCTCCCGCGTGCTTCACATGTCGCTACGCACGGTCCAGATGCTCCAAGACACGCCCATCGTGCACACGCTGTGCCATCTACGGCCACGAATGCAGTTACCCCGAGACAAATAAGGGACGGTCGCTGACGTCCTCGGCCCAGTCTTTGATGCAACGACTTCGAAGTAGTCATTCACCGTCGCCTGCTATCTCTTTGGAAGATGAATCAACAACCATTGCTCCTGTCTATGACCGTACTGGTGTATCTCCCCCCGAACTTCGCGGCGACGAAAACCGTGTCGGATTTAGTTATGAAGCAATACAGCAAAACCTGGTGATGAATACCAGTTTGGCCGATACATATAACGAGCTGGATGCCCTCGGTCCTAAAACCGTGCACGACGTTTTGTTGCCGACCCGTGCCGATTCACTCCTCAAACCCACCAGCCCCAGTAGGACCCAAGTGAAATGGTCTAATCTACCACCTCACATCAAGCTCCCTAGTCAGGATCGACTGGAGTGTCTTGCCGTGGCGTTTTTTCTTCATGTTCATGTCTACCGCGCCAATGCCTTTCTCCACCGAGACCGAACACTCACCGCCATCCGCGATGGGAGTATGTCCGTAGCGATTGTCCTCGCCCTCTGTGCTGTGGGAGGGAGATTCACCTTCCCTCCGGAGTCCGAAGAGATAGTGATGGCCTGGGCAGCAGATGCAGGCAATCAAATCTTAGCATCGACGGACGTAAATAGAGACAATATCTCGGCCTCTCTTCTGCTGGCGATCTATTATCAACAGGCAAGTCAGTTTGCACAATCCCATCTCTGGTCCGGCATTGCCATGAACCAGGCAATTACCCTGGGCCTTCATCGCGAAGCCCCGTTGAGAAACTCCACCTTTGCCGAGAGCGAACGCGATCGACGGTTGTTCTACGCATGCTACGCGATCAGTCGATTCATATCCAACGGCTCACCGGAGTCAATCCAGTGTCCTTCGTCTCGCATCAGGCTCAAGCTACCATGCGACGGCTTCAACTACCGGATGGATGTATTTGTGGACACACCATACGCCCACTTGGAGGAGGCCGAGGAGCCCTCAGGGTCGCCCGCCACCCACCAATGCGTGGGCGCCATGGGATTCTGGGTGCGCTTGGTCGGGGTCCGAACGATGACTCGGCGATACTTCCACACCCTCACTGAAAGCCGACAGCAGCCGCAAGAAGACGACATACGAGCATTGTCCGGGGGTAACTCAAGGGGTCCCATGCTACTACCCTCACTAGCACCGTGGAATCCCACCTCCCCCTATGCAGCATGCATGGCCAAGCTAGCCATAATCCGAGAATCGCTACCTACCCGGTTTCAGCTCTCCCGCGACCGTGTGGCTCAACTCCACGAATCGCCCGTCCTCGGCCAAATAGTGCTGTTCTACCTGTGGTGGAATGAATGCCACATCGAACTGTGCAGCATGGCGCTGACGGGGTACGCACAATCCCTGGACGAGGAGACTCTCGCTACCGCCCCGGATGGCTGGGTCCAACAGACGTGCCGGAACTGCTTGCGGCATGCGCAGGCTATTACTGATGTGCTGGAACTCCTTGAACGTGAGCTATCTGGGCATCCGCTGACGATCTACGATCATACCATCGCGCATGTAGTTTACCTGTCCCTTCGAGTGCAGCTGGAAGTCGGACTCGTGGATAATGAGATATCATCTCGTTTGACGAACCGATTTGAGATGATGCTCGAGTTTGTGAAACGCACGAGTAATTATTTTCGATCGATTCAGCTCGTGGTGAGATGGGCCCTACCTCATGATTGACCTTGGCCTCGCGCGACCGCTCCTGCTAACATACTATCAATGCCATCTAGCTCAAGGAGATGCACCGCATGCTCGCCGACCATGGATTTCCTTGCAAGCAGCCCCAAGAGAGCCAGTCGTAAGTCCCGCTCTCCCATTTTGTAACCTAATGATCACATCTTTCGAAAGCACAAACTGAATTACCCTGCTAGTGGAGCCGAAACCCCCCAGTTGCCTTGGTTCCGACGTCAAAAAAGCCTGGACAGCCAACGGCTTGCAGAGCAAGCGGCTATCGTGAGTAGATCGAAAACAAAGAATGCTAATACTATTCGCCTAATACTAATTCGATCGCTCTCTCAATGCAGGAAAGTATAGACATTGACGCTATTCTTCTCGATCTCTTGCCCGACTGCTCATCAATGCATGGGACTACCGACTGGATACAAGGGCTTGAAGCGCGGGGCGCTGCTCTGTCACAGGTGCGTGGGTCCTATACATTACTCCTCCTATTGTCTGTGCAAACAATTTAATCTCCCTGGATACAGATTCCCCCTCCAAATGCAGAATGGAACACTTCGATTCCTGATCTCTGGGCTCAACGGCCCACCAGTAGCTCCTCACGGGCGGCAAATGGTTTGGACAGTACGAGGGTTGTTTTAGAATCGGGTGTGAGTATTTCCCCGTGGTAATTGTAGAGGTTTTTGCGCGTAAATATCTACAGTGTTTTGTCTTGTAGGGCAGCCTCTATGGTTGCATAAGCATAGAGGGATGTATGTACAAGGCTTAGCAACAAGATAATATGTATACAATACTTGCGTCATGATAGGAGCGAAATAATGCTGGAGACAAAGGACGTGCACTATATTTTTCTTGTTCTATGAAGGATCCGAAGCGAAGATCGCAACGATCTGATAGCCATACGTTATCTTCTCATCGCGACTCATCGCGAGGAGACATTAAGAAATTTTCTCTCCTAGGCGAGCCTCGCCTGCGTCCCTCGCTTCCCAATCGGGTATACCCGCCCGATCGGGCTGTGACAGCAGCGAGCGAGCACACCGAGCATCTTGCCCAGCCTAATGCCTATTTGTTTTCGACATAGCAATTCTCGTGCTCAGCTCTCAGTCGCTGGCGAGAGACCTTTACCAGTACCTTGGCTCATATCTGACTAACTTAATTAGCTGATTCTTTGACTCTGAATCGTGGAAGTCACTGACACCTAACGAGATCTCCCACATACCGCCGTCCATTGACCTATACACCAACTATATCAACGGAGAATAATGTCAGATCAATTGACACACCCCACCGACAATGAGAAGCAGGCTGCTACTCAAATGATCACAGCCCCAGAACCGGCTGTAACTTCCACCAGCAACACCGACAGCGACAGCAGCACCCGCAAAGATGCGCCCGTCCAAACGCAGACGAATCTTCTCCCAATGCGCCAGCTCCTGATCGTTTTCTCCGGCCTATCGACTGCGATGCTATGCTCCATGCTCAATCAAACCATGTAAGCTATCTACATATACTTTTCTTCTGCTGTTACGGCTGTATAATAACAAGGAAACTACAGCGTCGCCACCGCCCTCCCAACCCTGGGCGCCGTATTTCACGAAGCCGACATCGTGGCGTGGGTAGGCACCGCCTACCTCCTCACCAGCACCGCTTGCCAGCCCCTGTACGGCCGGCTGAGCGATATATTTGGTCGAAAGGTGATTCTGCTCGGCTCGTTGGGGATTTTCCTGATTGGGAGTGTCTTGTCCGGAGTGTCGCGGGACATGATTATGTTGATTGTTTCGCGTACGTAATTCTTCACTCTTGTGGACGAGAAGTCCAAACATGACAACTGACTGGCATCCCATGGAAATGTTACTGCAGGTGCCATTGCAGGAATTGGCGGGGGCGGAATTGTCACGGTCGTCAGCATTGTCGTATCCGATGTTGTCTCCCTCAAGGATCGGGGCAAGTATCAAGGGATCATCGGCGTGGTGGTCGCCGCAGGGACGGCGATGGGGCCGGTGATCGGAGGCGTATTCACAGAGAAGACTTCGTGGCGGTGGTGTTTTGTATGTATCCCTTTCCCGTTTCTTCATCACAACTCTTTTCTGGGTGTGCTGGTAATGTGAAATGCTGATCAACGTGGAGCTTCAACTTCTAGTATATCAGTGTTCCGCTGTCGGCGGTCGCGATCGTGATTGTCGCGTTTGCCCTGCCGCTCAAGAAGGTCGAAGGGAATGCGATGGAGAAGATCAGGAAGATTGATGGCTGGGGGAGCTTGATTAGCTTTGCAGCTTCAATTGCGATTCTGTTGCCGATTTCCTGGTGCGTGAGGCTGGCATTTCTGTCGTGGGTTGTGGTAGGTTCATAGGCTGACTGACGGGCGTGATTTTTCTAGGGCTGGGACGCGATATGCCTGGACCTCGGCGGCGGTTCTGGCTCCGCTGCTGATCGGAGTCTCGCTCATAGGGGCTTTTATGTTGGTTGAGGTCAAGGTGGCCAGACTACCTTTGTAAGCTTCCCCGTTGCGTTCAATGGTGTTTTTTTGCTAATCCATCTATCTCCAAAGAATCCCATGTTCGTTACCTGCGAAAAGTCCCCAACCCGACCCCCTATTCCAAGCCTCCAAGCCAACACTAACAACAAATTCCCCTCTAGTAACAATGTTCAAAAACACCCACGTGGCCGTGTGCATCACCACATCCTTCCTAACCGGCTTCATGACCTTCGTCAACCTTTACTACGTACTCCACCCCTCCCCTTCCCCATCCTGTCACACTACAAACCTAATCCATTTCTCACAACCACAAAGCTCCCCCAATTCTACCAAGTTGCCCAGGGCGACTCCGCCCTCCGCTCTGGAATCCTCATCCTCCCGCTCGTCCTCTCCCAGATCATCACGAGCTTCACCTCCGGCTTCCTCGTCTCCAAATACGGGTGCTACCGCATCAACCTGATCGTCGGATACGGGCTGTGGACGATCGCCTCGGGGGTCTTCACGACCGTGGACCCTGCCACACCCGCCTGGAAGCTCGTCGTCTACCAGTTGATTACCGGACTGGGGAGTGGACAGACCCTGCAGACGACGCTGGTGGCGATCCAGGCGGCTGTGCAGCGGCACGAGATGGCCGTCGTGACGGGCGCGCGGAATTACCTCCGGATGATGGGGTCGACGCTGGCCGTGGCGGCGAGTGCGGCGATTGTGAATAATGTTGTTCGGTGGGTCTGGTTCTTTTTATCACGAGGACTAGGGCCTGGGTAGGGGGGGAAGGGGAACAGGGGGCGGTGTTTCAGATGATATGATATGTTCACGAAACAAGCTAACTGTGTCACTCTCTGGTATAGTTCGAAATTGACTGGCCTGGACTTTGATTCCGCTGTGATTGCGGCCATCGTATCCGATCCGACGACAATTAGGTCAATGAGTGGATTGTCCGAGGTGGAGGTAACGGAGGCGTTGGATGCGTATGGTGGGTTTCTTGTTGCCACACCTACCGTCCCTGGATGGCATTGACTGGTACTGACCTCTTTCTGGGTGGCTACAGCCAAAGGTGTGCAGGTGACCTATTATATGATGACGGTGCTGGCGGGGGTACAGTTCCTGCTCTGTGTGTTCTTCGTCAAGGATTACTCGCTGGAGCGCGAGGATGATGCCCGCGAGAAGGAGGCGGCGAAGAACTGGCTTCAGGAGCGGAAAAGAAAACAAAACGGGAAGGGGACTGTGGCGGAGGGGGTGGCTGGGGTGGACGAGACTGAGGATCGGACAGAGGAGCGGCGGAGAGAGGTTGAAGATAGGGTCTAGAATGGGTCGGTCTTTCTTAGTTTGGGTGAAAGTTGGAAAGGAGTAATGTCAAGTTGCGCGCTTTCGTACTGGTTGATGATGAGGGATAGCATTAGTGAATGTTTATTTGTGCAAAAAAAAAAAAAAAGGATCGCGGGGCAATGATGAAATGCCACAGGAATATATCAAAGATTATATTACACTAAATCGAACCACGGTGCTTTTGATGTGTGTATATCTTCTTGAGGCCGCAGTTTTACTCTTGTCTATCGTGGTGAAATATTGCAAACTGGAAAATACATCATATGCTCTAATCAATTCATTGATCGCCAAGGAAGATGTCTGTATCTCAGAGAATCATAATCCTCTAATCTTCTCTTCAATGTCTAAGTGTGTAGCTTATGCGTTTATTAAGGCCTAAACTCAGGTCTCTCATATCATTGTCTCGTCAGCTACTATATGACTAGGTATACCATGCTCTCCTCCCATACAACAACCACATGTCACCTTGCCAGCCTGTCTCTCTTTCTCATTGCCAAAACCAGGTTAATACTGTTACTAACCGCTGTACTCAACATGTTCAACAGCCTGACTCTTTACAACCCCGCATTCACCTCCCGCGTGATGCTGGTCAGCACCGTCATCCCTTTCGAAAACATCGATCTTTGCGTTCCGCCACTTGCGCGGATGCAGACCCGAGCTCTCGAACAGGTAATCGATCTCACGAAAGGTGCGGCCTTTCGTTTCTGGTAGTCGGAAGATGCACCAGATCCAGATGAGGGCGTTGGTACCGGCCTGCGAGGATTCACGAATAAGAGAAAATTTAACAAGAACAACAGGATAAGAAGGTAGAATCACTCACAAACAGGAATGCAGTCTTGGCACCCAGGTTCCACGAACCACCGGTCAACATCTTCGGGATGAGCACATTCGAGACCAACGAGCTCACATTGAAAGCCACCCGAGCGAGGGAGATCATCTTGGCTCGGAGCTTGCCAGATGGGACTTCGCCCTATTCATTCCCACATTTTTCACATCAGTACGAAGTCACGGATAGGTAACAACAAAAGAAAAATGCGTGAGGACCCACCACAATAGTGTACGACGACGGCGCCACCGTAGCAATATACACCACACTCGAGACCAGCAACAACGAGCCCACCGCATTCGACACCTCGGTACTCTGCTTGACGCACCCGAGCACGCCGATCGCGAACAGAAACACATCGCTGATGATCAACCCAGTAATGAAAATCGTGGCCCGGCCGAACCGCGTCATGAGCCAGATACAGAACAGCCCGAAGGTCAGATACTGGGAGTTGAGAATGAGATTCAGGTCGAAGGCGCCGTGCTCAGACAGACCGGCCTGCTCGAGGAACTGCACCGTCTGCACGTTGATCCCGTTCCCGCCCCAGGTCTGCGCCATCTGCACGATGCACACGATCTCCGTGCGCCAGCGGTTCTTGCCCCGGAAGCACTCGGCGTAGCTGCTGGAGGCATTGAGCTCCACCTCCATGCGGTTCGTGTAGTCGATCAAAGCGATCGTCTGCTCGATTTCTTCCGGGGTGGTGTTGTCGCTGCGGATGCGGCGGAGGATGGCGCGCGCGTCGTCGAGACGGCCGGTGCGGACGAGGAAGTAAGGGGATTCCGGGGCGAGAAGGAAGCAGATGAGGAGCGGAGGGACCCATACGAATTGTATAAGGAAGGGGATGCGCCAGGCTGAATAGGTTATCATTAGATCAAGAGCTCTCCTGTCACTCACACCATACCCGCGAGAAGAAGAGAGACTTACCCCATTCACCGGGGACGTTCAAGCAGGCTCGGACAATCAACGAGCCAATGAAGAACCCCAGACCCCAGCAGATGCCCACCCATGCGGTGACAAACGGACGTAGACACGTCGGCACCATCTCCGAGGAATACGCGATACAGCCGGTCTGGAAGGCACCCCATGGGATCCCGCACATTACCATGGCGGCAACCATCATTCCCAGGTTCTTCGCAAAAGCAAACAGAAATAGCGTTCCGGCTAGCATGATCATCATGCCGCTGAGAATTGGCTTCCAGCCGTATCGGTCGGCAAGGTATCCCGCCAGAGAGAGACCGATGAGCTCCCCGCACGCCATGGCTTGCTGGATGGCGGTTTGCCATTTCGCGGAAATCTCCAGAACCCCGTTGTCATGCGTGCCAAATTGCTGTTTGAATTGATCCTGGCCGTAAAAGGTGGTGGTCTGCCACCGGCATTGCAGAAGGGTTAGTTAGGGCTGGACATCGGGGGCCGGGGAAATGCGGGGGCGTGGGGGGAGTTAACAAGGGTGTGGGGGCTCCACTCACGCATGTCGCATCCGCCGCCTGCATGGTCAGCGTGAAGGAAAAGACACATGCCCAGAAGACAGCTTTGCGATACTTGCGGATGGCCTGCCACCAGGTGAGTGCGTGGTCCGCAGCATTGGCAGCGTGGGCCCTCTCGAGGAGAGTGGTCTGTTCGATGTCTAGTTCGGGATCCTTGGAGTCAGCCATTTTGATTCGGACATCTCTGGTCTTGTATGGTTTCGGTGGGGACGATCGGCTCTAAATGGTCTTCCAAATTTTGCGGGGAAACGTGGGGTAGAACAAGGTCCGGCTATACTTTATCGCGTCTCATGCAGGCTTTGTAGGTGTCTCGTGGAGCTACGGGCGCTGTACCTCGTATCCATCAGCCCATACGATCCGAGGCGATGCTCGCCAAACTACCGCCTGCCAAAGCTTAAAGATCGCGGCTCGCTAATTTCGCCTAAGTGATAATAGGCTAGATGTCATGGCCTAGCCTCAAACACCCCTCAAAGCTTGTCCTCGTGCTCATTTGAGCTCGACCTGCCATAATTCACCGCTCTTCTTTTGTCACATTGCTCATGCCAGCAATCCCCAGAACATCATGTCGCAAATCTCACGAGCCATGTACGCCTATGTCGGTAGCTTTGTTATGCCGACCCCAGGTGCACATGACGGGCTGCATGTCTTCCGGGTGGATTCCGAAACCGGAGCCCTAACGCCCGTCTCCTCCCACATCCCCAGCCTCAACGTGGGCAGCTTCGCTCTCGACCCTCAGCGCGGCGTACTTTACGTGACCGACGAAGTAGCATCGACCTCGGAGTTCCGCGAGCAACACCAGGTCGCGGGCGGCGGAGGTGGGCGGATCTTCGCCTTCACGATCGACCGAGCGACGGGCGGCCTGAGCGAACTCGGCCACTGGCCCAGCTACGGCACGCAGCCCGCGGGGATTGCCCTACACCCCAGCGGCAATTTTCTGGTGGTCTCGCATTTCACCAACCGCACCACTATAACCACTCAAATCACCGGGACCGCGCAATTGGGCTTCTCAATCAGCCCTCGCTATGACGACGCGACCACCGTCCTCTTCCCCATCGACGCTATCGGCCGCATCGGCGCCCCCTGCCACATCCACATCCACGCACCCACCTCGCCGCCTTCGTGTCTGCACTCTATCACCCTCTTCCCAACCAGCACCAACGACAACAACAAATTTTACCTAGAATGCGACATGCTTCAAGACAAGCTCTTGACCTTCACACTCGCCGACAAGCCTCCTCTTCTCCGCATCCATGCATCCCATGCCACTCCAAAAGGCAGCGGACCACGCTACTCCGCCTTCCACCCCACCCTCCCTGTCTTTTACGTCAATTACGAATACCACCCCATCATCGAGACCTTCACTTACCAGACAGATGGTTCTTTCGCCTCCTTGTCCAAGGTGGAAGTCCTCCCATCGGCGGAGGAACTGGCAGCGAATTACCCCCCACCGGAAGGGAAGGTTCTGCTGTCTGATCTGAAGGTTCATCCGGGTGGAGGGTTTGTCTATACTCTTGTGCGGGGATATAATGTGCTCAGTGTCTTTCGGGTTGATCACACCACGGGAGGGTTGGAACGGATCCAGACGGTCGGATTGATGGGTGGGGTTTCGCCCAAGGGGTGTGCGGTTAGCCCCGATGGACGGTTCGTGTATGTGGCTCTTTCGGTGAGTGGGTTGGTGCAGGTATGGCGGGTGGAGGATGAGAATGGTGGAAGGCTGGTGTTTACGGGGTCAACGGTTAGTGTGCCGAGACCGGGGGCTGTTTTGGTGGTTGAGATATAGATTTCTTGTGTGTGGTTTAGATGAATTTATTATCCGTTGACTCGAATATAATCTTCAGACGTTCATTCGGGTAAAAGATGTAAGAACACCAGAACTCCGGGTCGAGAGTGTTGGGAAATTATTATAGATTTTAGCAGAGTTATATATACTGGTCGCGAACAATCTCAAATAATCTGGATATTGGATTTGCTTTGGTGTTCAGCGTTCACCCTGTCACTTCCAGCAACACTCCCATATAAATCAATGTATAGCCAGCAACTCTAAAGCATTCTTTGCGCGATCAAAAGCATTACAACCACTTCTCCTTCTCCTCAACCACCTTCGCCCTCGCATCCCACCAAAACTGCAACCCCTCATCATTCAACCCCCCCAGCACATCCTCCGCCGTATGCGGCGCCCCGGGGACAATGGCCTTCCCAAACTCAACCCCCCACGCCGTCAGCGTCTCCCACATATGCTCATGCGCCTCGCGCAGCCGCACATCCTCGCCCCCAATTAACAGCCGCAACTCCGTCTTCTCCCGCTTCACATGCTCCAACTGCCTCTCCAACAGCGTCAACGCATGATTCGCCGTGAAGAACGCCTGACTACCATTATACGTATCGTAGGTTACCTCCCGCCCTTCATCCGCGAGCTTGGTCCGAAAGCTGCCGGCGAGGGAGCTCAGCGCCCCGCCAAAGACCTCGGGGTACTTCAACCCCAGGTTCCACGCCCCGTAGCCGCCGGCCGAGTGGCCCTCCAGCCACCGCGCCGAGGGGTGCCGGATCGTGCGGTACCGCTCGTCGACGGCGGCCACGAGATCGCGGCGCATGATGTCGCCCAGCGGGCGCGCGCCGTCGTAGCTGTTGATCCACCGGCCCTTGGGGAGGGCCTGCGCGGCAATCAGGAT